TTCTGTACACAGAATCTACCTGAGAATAAATGCCACTGAACTCAATTGGATTTACTTCTGAATAGATATGCCTTGGATTAGACTGTTAGGGCCTGACTACAGATTACTTGAGATCACTTGAAGCATTGTTGGTTTATGAAAAAACCAAAGCCAAGTGTGGGGGCTCTGATCCAAATTAGGAATGCAGGTCATAGGAAAGGATCCCCATATGATCCTAAAAGCAAAAGAAAAAGAAACCCCACACCTTCCATTGCCATTTGCTTTTATTTTTGTTCACTTGTTTATCTGCTTTTGCTATTTGCCATGCTGGCATACATGTAAACCCTGCTTCCACACAAACTGCAGAAGGGGAGAGTTAAACATTTTGTGTGGAATGGGGAAATATGCTTCAATTTAATGTCTAAAAATTCCTATCATTGCTTCAAGGGATGCATTTAAAGTAACAAGTTTTTAATGAGCTTCAGCCTGTAGAGTTCGTGACAGTATATTATATTTAGAGAGATGTTTCTCTTAAGAACTCTTGAGCAAACTGTCATGTATGGGAAGAAAGGAGAGAAATGTCTCTCTGAAACACTTTGATTTTTAGCATGTTTTTTGCACTTTGTAATATTTTCCAACCAGAAGACTTTTTACATCAAGCACACACTTCTACCTGTCACACTTCACGTTCTTGTTACTGATTTGTCCCTGCTGTCAAGTATTTTGCAATGATATAAAATTATTTTGCAATTATACAATTTATGGTTGGAAAAGCTGATTCAAGCTGCATTTGGTGAAGTTAATATCATTTTTTAAATTGCATGAAATGCTTCAAAATATTCTAATATATCATTATTAGAACAAGGGTGAAGGTGTTGGGCAGTAAAAGGGCTGTTCATTTTCTAAATAAATAAAGAATTAATCTTAAACTACATCCCAAAAGTATAAGTTTTTTTATGCGCACTACTTACCTCTGTATTTTTAATACTATATAAATGTTTAATCTTTCATTCCCTTTGAACCATGAGCAGAATTACATGTTAAAAATTATCTTCGTTATATTTGCCAAATGCCATTTGACTGAAATGTTCCTTGCTGGAACCTGAGAGAACAATGTGTCCAGGATAAATTGTTAATCCATATCCCATCGTTCCTATCATATTTATAAACATATACAACCCCAAAGGAGTCATGTTGTTTATCCTTATCCTTTTGAAACTGGTGTCAGTGTAGTGCTATGCTGTTCACTCCTATCTCTTAGGTGCCTGTAAGAGGGTGGGTGAGCATGTTTTTCTCTCCTTCCCTTTTTATTCTCCCTCCTTCATGGTTAATTATTAATTGATTTTTAAAATTGTTTTCTTTAATTAATCCCTGTAATATTTTTAAATTGTAATATTTTTTATTCATTTTATTGAATGATTTATTCTCCTTTTGGTGGGATGAAAAGTAGAGGATGTATCTGATAAATAAGCACAATTTTTTAATGTTTTCAGACAGCTTATCAATGAGATTTTTAAAGCATTGCTTCTGCATCAACTACGTGCTACTAGAGCACCAATTATGTATATATTAAATCATTTTATGTATATATTAAAATCATGTTATGTATATATTTAAAAAAACCTGTTTGTAATGCAGTGTTATTTGTTACTTGTGTCAACTGGATTTGTTACATGTCTTAACTCTATTTTTTCAGACCAAAGCCTTGAAGTGATTATCGTTCTTCAGAGAGACAAAGTCCTATGACATGGGCATCAGGAAATATGCCAATATTGTTCTGTGAATATGGATGGGGTGGGCAGCCAGTGTGGTGTAGTGGTTTGGGTGTTGGACTGAGATCTGGAGACCGGGTTCAAATCCCCACTGGCCATGGAAACCCACTTGGTTACCTTGGGTAACTCACATGCTTTCAGCCTCAGAGGAACCCCCCACCCAAACAAATATTATAAAGAATCCCCTGTGATAGGATCGCTTTATGGTCACCATAAGTGGGAAATAACTTGAGGTAGGCTGCCCATATGTACCGTTTTAAATGGGACAGTACCATTTTTTCATATTTCCAGATTTTTCTATCATTTTAATATAAATGTCAATTTTGTCCCATTTTCAAGAAAAATGCCCTGTTATGTTGTGAAAATGGTTTGAAGATGCCTGTTTGAAATTATGGTTGTAACCCCCCCCCAAAAAAATCCACAAAATATAAACCACAAAATTGTGTCATGTCAAGTGAAGTTTTATGATAAGGTGTTGAAAGACTGAAATTTGCTTTGTAAGATTACTTTGTCAGAGAAATATTCACGGTATGATCGTGGTGAAATACAGACCCCCTCTATGTCTACCTACATTTTTGCATAAATTCTGTCACCAGAGAATAATTTTTAGCTCAATATGTTCATGTAATAAAACTTATGTTATTGTCTTGATTTTTCATAAATATGGAATATTACATATTCCCATCCTATTTTTGCCTTCCCAATGTCTCATTTTTGTCTCAAGGAAATATGGTCAGCCTAACCTGAAGGCACACAACAACAACAAATGGGTGGGGTGAGAACAATTGTATAGTCCCCTGAGCCTGATAGTGAGAAACCTTCATTACAGCTGAATATTTTAGGGCCTCTCTGTGCCAATTTTTTTTTTAATTTTCTTGGTTCCTTCCCTTTAATAAGCTATCTGCAGAGATATCTTGAAGCACCTTTGAGACTAACTGAAAGAAAGAAGTTGGCAGCATGAGTTATTGTAGACTAAAGTCATTTGAGGAAGTAGACTTTAGTCTACGAAAGTTCATTCTGGAAGCTTCTTTCTTTTCATTAGTCTCAAAGGTGGTACAAGATCTCTTTACATATTGATTTTTCAGACTAACATGGCTATGTTTTTGGATTCTATCTTTAATAAGCAAGGACTCAAAATTTCAGAAATAACTGGCCATCATACATAGCGATCTTTCGTCACTGTATGTCTGGTGTCATAGGGTTGCCAGATGGAAAACTGGAGAGGTCTCCTGTATCTTTAAAGGTTATACAGAAGAGGAAAGTCCAGCATGTGTTGCTTCTCAATCAACCAAGTAACAAGCAGCACCCACTGAAATTCCCTCTTCTACGCAACCATTAAAAGCAGAAGAGCCTTCTTCAGTTTTTCACTCTGGTAAATTAAGTGAAAACACAAGTCAGCTCTATATGTGCAGTAGTAGTAACAAGCTGCCACTACCCTGGATTGCTTCAGTCCACAGGCAAAGAATCACATTTTTATGATTAAAAAAAATCTAGAAGAAAATGTTTGTATAAGTAGAAAGCTCTACCAGGGGATATACCAGCATTTGCTGCTGATATTTTCTGGTGAGGGCTTTTTTATACAATAGGATTCAAGAATATGAAACACACTCTTGTTTTCTGAAATGGTACAGTCCCATCAACCAGCTTTTGGGCAACTTTATTGCCACATTTTGGTGCATGTGTAGATCAGTTCTATAATTTATATTTTGTCTGTGTTCTTGGGAACAGTGAAGATAACCTAAGTACTCATTAATGGATGGATCATAGGAAGAAAGGAATGACACTTTTCACTCTGAAGAGTCACAGAAGGTGGAGCTCAGACAGTCGTGTATATATCACACAAACGTGTGGGCACCAGTCATTTTTTTCTGGAAAAGAAACAAGCTAGGTTCATGCTGTAAAACTGACAGAGCAGAACACTTATTTTAACGCACTGAAACTGCTCCTTTCTTTATTGCCTGTCTTTCATGCAATGGCCACTCAAATGGTAAGATAAATAAGCTATTTTAACCCTTTCTCATTGATTTAATTATACTAAGGAAACTGTGAACTAATGCTCAACCTTTACAAACAAATGAACTGGATTCCCTCAGAAAGACGTCACCATGTAAGAAATAAAGAGTAAAAGACATGGCTACACTGTAAGCTACTTCATCGGTGTTTTTGAGGTCTTGTGGTTACCTATAAATATTTAATTTAATGTTACTTTCATTCCTGTTTTGCTGTATATTCCAAGATCAGGAAATATGTGATTTTGGGGAAATCTTTGTGTGATCAGATTATTTCACTTTAACTGCCATGTTTCATTGTTTCCATGTTTCCCATGGCATCCTGGAGTTTGTGGTTTAGGGAGGGATATCTAGAATTCTCAGCTGAAAAGCTCTAATGTCTCACAAAACTATAAACTCCCGGATTTCACAGGCTGTTACCATGGCAGTTAAACTGAAATCATATTGCTATAACTGTGAAGTGTGAAAGACCCAGAGACAGAGCCCTCCACTGGAACTGTGAGTTGCAGACAAGGAGCAAATGCAGTTTGGGTATCATACACCGTTTTTTTCTCCAACAACTAACTATTCCTACCAGCTGGGCAGAAAATACTTTTTGAAGCAACTCCTTTGCTTTTTTAAAAACTAGTCTAGCTGATTAAAATAATTTGTTGTTGGTGGTGTTAGTGTATGCCTTCAAGTCATTTCCGACTTATGCTTAGGGGTTTTCTTGGCAAGCTTTGTTCAGAGAAGGTCTGCAATTGGTTTCCCCTGAGGCTGAGAGATTGTGACTCACCCAAGATCACCCAGTGGGTTTCATAGCTGAGCTGGAAATTTAACTTTGGTCTCCAGAGATGTAGGGGGGTTGCAAACTGCCAGAAATAGTACAAATTGAGTCCACTTTTAGGGTTAGGATTAGGATTAGGGAATCATGGGAACTGTATTTTATTGTGGCACCAGAGCTCTCTGACAGAGAAGGCTCAATGTCTCAGAAAAAAACCAATTCCCATGACTCCCTAGCACTAACCCTAACCCTAAAAGTGGACTTAGGGGGGTTGCAGACTGCCAGAAATAGTGCAAATTGAGTCCACTTTTAGGGTTAGGGTTAGTGCTAGGGAATCATGGAAATTGTTGTTTTTTTTCTGACACATTGAGCCTTCTCTATCAGAGAGCTCTGGTGCCACAATAAAATATAGTTCCCATGATTCCCTAACCCTAACCCTAACCCTAAAAGTGGACTCAATTTGCACTATTTCTGGCAGTCTGCAACCCCCCCATAGTCCAGTAGTCAAACCGCTGCACCATGCTGGCTCTCCTAAAATCATTTACATTGTTTTAATTAATTTCATCTTATATTTTACTGCTTTAGCTTTTTATTTGGTGAAACCTTAGGAAAGCTTGGCCTTGAAAAGTGGCACAGAAACATTTTAAATAATAGTAAAAGAATAATAGCAATAATTGCTTAATTGTAGGGGAAGCCTTGTTTGCACTGAAAGGAAAGAACATATATTGTGTGGAATATATAATATTGTAGAGAAAAGCATGCTGTAACAGTGTTTCTGCTAGGAAGTCGTTACCTGCTTAAGAAGGTTGACCTATGCCTTCAATATATGAGCCTCTGAAATTTTTCAATAAAATAAACTTTATCCCCATTAAAAGTAACTTGAAAAGTAAATAGAATCACTTATGGCATGGATCAAGTAATCCTATTCCTGCTTGTCTCAGTGGTTTTCAAATGTAACTTTGTCATCCCATTGTAATAACCAAGAAATGTGGCACATCTCTCTGCTTGTAACTAATTTCTTCCAAGTTCTGCAGTTGTCTTTCTCTGCCTCAGGATAGAGCTGACCTTGTCCAGCGCTTATCAAAAACTGCAGCAGGGCTTGAAAGAAATGGTTTGTACATTTTTAATTGAGTTACCCTTAGGATAATTGACTGGCTGCTCATAAAGTAACAGGGCAAGTACTTAACTTTCTTAGTGATGCTAATTTATATAGTTTTTAATTCAATTGTGTTTTCTATGTGTCTTTTAAAATTTACGGTAGTTGTGAACTGCCATAATTTCCAAGTCTGCAGGCAGGATATTTTATTTTCTCTCTCTTTTTGGTTTCTTTTCTTTGTAATTATACTTCAAAAATCCCCAAACAATATTTTAAAAACATAAAACATAAAGAAAGCTTAAATATCCCAGAATCCCATGTTAAGTATAAAACAGCAAGTTGTAGACAAAAAGCATGCCTCCTAGCCAAAAATTAGAAATTCGTTTGGAATGACAGAAAAATTATAGCTTGAAGGAATGGTATGATATAAAATTACAAGAGGGATTAAGGGTATGACATCAGCTTTAGACAGGGAACACTTTTGTTTCAGTGAATTCAGCCTCTAATGGAATGTGAATTGTTTTTACCATTAACAACAATAACAAATGGCTACAGGGGGCAATCTCCTGATATTTAAAAAGTATAAATGTTTCAGGATTGGTGTAAAAGGATGTTGGTTCTATATTCTGGACTACTTCCCCTCCCGGCTAACTAGGAATTTGAAGGATTGTAGTCCCAAAAAGTAACTTTCCCCAGTTCTAGATTAGAGAACAAAAAAGCACAGATCCAGCAAAGGTCCAGGTATTGATTATTCAGGATTGGGGATAAATAATGTCATCCTCTGATGAAACATATAGTGTTTTGTTTTTGATGTAGTATAATAGATATGGAGCCAGTGTAGCATTGTGGTTTGAGCATTGAAGTCACACACTAGCAGCCTGAGAAAACCCTTTGCAACAGGTTTGCCATAAGTTGCAAATGACTTGAAGGCACACACACACAACAACAACAACAACAACAATAGATATTCCTTGCCATGGCACTACTATTCTGTGGTAATGGGATTGTGCACTCCTGTGAGGCATGAGACTATGCTGATAACAGCAGTACTGCTAGTGGTCAGACCCACTAAATGTGCAAAAAACTACTGAAGAACAGCAGTAGTAGACATGGTGACTCTGGTGGATGATCTCTCCGAGACAACAGCAGTGGCACCATAGCTAACCCTTGTTAGCACTATGCAGAAGAAGGCAATGGTAAATTACCCCTGAAGCCTTTTATCATGAAAA